AGGTTTTGAGGTGTAAGGTTTAGGGTTCAGGGTTTCTTAGGGTTTAAGATTTTGAAGGGTAAGGTTTAGGGTTCAGGGTTCAAGGTTTTGTAAGTTAGGGTTTAGGGTTTAGAGTAGTTATGTATCGCAGTTCTTGCAGTTTTTAACAAAGAAGTGTAGCCGGAACATGCTCCGGAGGCAATTCCGCATCCCCTGAGTCCTTCCCTTAAGGTGTCCAGTGGGTAAACTTTGCCGCGTTGGGGTGCTTGAATATCCAGATTATTTCTTAGATAGTGAACGGGGGAACTTGAAACTTTTTGGCCCGATATATTAGCTCTACCGTAGAACGTTTGAACTTTTTGTGGCCCGGTTGTTGAAGTAGAGGGGTTTTGAGAATGAACTGAAAGTTAAGAAACCCTGGTAGCTGGACCGGAATGCTTCTGTAAGCCCTAATCTTTTTAGCTGAGTGGATGCACTTTAGACTTCTTGGGATAATATTACCCACTATAAAACTAAAAAGTGTACACTTTTAGGGGCTTATGACCTCAGCAACTAAGTAGTTCTTAAACCTGATTTCTGCAGCCTCATTCCTTTGCCGGAGCCTCAGTTCGCGTTCTTAAAATGGCACATTCGAACCCCGAGCCCCACAGGTGTTCGGTGTCTTTTTTTTGCGGTACACTGGTATCCTCAGCCCTAAAACCTTACATCCCAGAGCCTTGAACTCTGAACCCTGAACCTTAAACCCGAAACCCCTAAACCTCTAAACCCAAAACCCTAAACCTTAAACTCTAAACCTTCCCTGTTGCTTCTCATGATGACTACTTCCTTTAGTGTCGTTTCACTTACCAGACTCCGAACCATATGCCGCGCCTGGATTGTCCGAGTGTGAGTGCAGAAACCTTTGCTGAGTAGGAGGGAAAAAACCTAATCCCTAAACCTCAAACCCTAAACCGCTAAACCTTAAACCCTAAACCGCTAAACCCTAAACCCGAAACCCCACAGACCCTAAACCTCAAACCCTATACCCTAAACCTTAAGCCTTAAACTCTATAGACCCTAAACCCTAAACCTCAAACCCTAAACCTTAAACTCTATAGACGCTAAACCCTAAACTCTATAGGCCCCAAACCCTAAACCTTTAACTCTATAGACCCTAATTGAACCTTAAACTCTATAGACCCTAAACCTCAAACCCTAGACCCTAAACCCTAAAGCTCTGCAGAAAACGTCCGCTATCATAGGTCAAAAAAGCCCTAAACCTTAAACCTCAAACCCTAAACCCTAAACCTCAAACCCTAAACCAAACTCTATAGACCCTAAACCCTAAAGCTCTGCAGAAAACGTCCGCTATCATAGATCAAAACAAACCCTAAACCTTAAACCATAAACCCCTAAACCCCTACACCTCGAACCTGAAACCCTATAAACCCTAAAGCTCTAGGGACCCTAAACCCTAAACCCTAAACTCTATAGACCCGAAGCTCTAAAGCTCCCGTAGCCCTGAGCATCCCCGCCAGGCCCAGCAGTGGAAAGCCGGGCCTTCAGAGCCCAGTCGGCGCCGACCTCGGGTTGTCTCCTAGGGTTTAGGGCCCTTTAGGGATTACAGTTCAGGGTTTAGGGCTTATAGGGTTTAGGGTTTGGGGCTTATAGGGTTCATAGTTCTTTTAAGTTTGGGGGCTTATAGGGTTTGCGGTAGAAGCCCCAAAGTTGGAAACCCGGGTTCCTAGGGTTCCTATAAAGGGGTCTATCAGGGTAATATACTATAAGGGTATGAGAATATAGGGGTCTTGCAGTAGAAGCCCAAAAGTTGGAAACCCAATAGCATCAATCCTTAAGGGTAATTTATAGGGAATCCCAGCATTATTTAGCCTTAATCCGGTTTCCAACCTGATGGGGTCTACTATAGGGCCTTTTAGGGATTACAGTTCGGGGTTTAGGGCTTACAGGGTTCATAGTTCCTAAGTTTGGGGGATTATAGGGTCTTTCTAGGACTCAGAGTAGGCCCTTATTCCATTCTTTAGGGTTTAGTTTCCCTTATAACCCCCTTTAACCCAAAAAGGGCACCCTTTTTATCCCTAGGTTACTCTTAGGTCTAGGTTTATTGTTTATAGGGTTTAGGGCCTTTGAGGGCTTACCGCTTAGGGTTTGTAGGGTTGAGGGCTTATAGAGTTCATGGTCCCTAGGTTTTTGGGGATTATAGGGTTTATAGATTATAGTTTCTAGTGGTTAGGGTCTGGGTTTTAGGGTTTATAGTTTATAGGGTTCAGGGTCTGCGTTTTGGGGTTCATAGGGTTTAGGGTTTACGATTCAGAGTTTAGGGCTCTATAAGCCTTTGGGCGCCAAGAATTTACGGCCACAGAGCCCTGAACCCTGGACCCTATCTGAGAGTTTAGAGCTTTAAAGCCCTACACCCTACACCCCAAACCTCGTCCGTTTATAGGGCTTCTCCCCAAGGCCCTAGTAGAGTATGTCAGTGTCAGGGCAAAATACTTAGACCCCCAACGCCAAACCTTGAAACTTTGTGCGATCTTACAGTTTAGTAAGCATCGGAAAGTTTTACCTTGTATTTCTGTGGCTTATTAGGGAAGCAAGTTACCTTGAGGACCGTAAACTATAGGAATATACTGGTATTCCCTATAGATCCCTTCAGAGAACCGCTTAAAGATACCCTTACAGATCGCGGGGTAGTAAGAATTGGACTTCCCCTAAACCCTAAAACCTAAACCCTGGTCGCCTGAGCCTGGAGAAGCTGTAATTAGCTGTCAACGTCACAGCTTTGTCAACTGTTGCTTCGGAGTTACCCTGCAATGCGGGCTACCCTGAATCCTAAACCCTAAAACCCTAAACCCTAGATCCTGATCCCTGAATCCTAAACCCTAAACCCTGATCCCTAAATCCGAAACCCTAAACCCTGATCCCAAACCCTAGATCCTGATCCCTGAATCCTAAACCCTAAACCCTGATCTCTATACACAAAACCCTAAACCCTGATCCCTAAATCCTAAACCCTAAACCCTAAAACCCTAAAACCCTAAACCCTGATCCCTAAATCCTAAACCCTAAAACCCTAAACCCTGATCCCGAAATCCTAAACCCTAAAACCCTAAACCCTGATCCCTAAATCCTAAACCCTAAACCCTAGAGGTACCTCTCCTGGGTTTGGGTGTTGCTGATTTTTGAGGGTCTCGAGGATAGGAGCTCCGGGGCTTGAGGAGGCATTTGGGTTTCAGGCTGTTAAGGGTTTAGGGTTTAGGGGTTTAGGCTCTTTAGGGTTTAGGGGTTAAGGGTATAGGACCTAGTTTAGGATGTAGGGTTTAGGGTTTAGGGTTTATGATTTAGGGTTTAGGGTTGAGGGAGGCTCTTTGGGACCCAGAAAGTTGGAAGATTGCCCTCATGCCCTTGAGGTAAAGTAGAGGGCATCCCGGAACTATGCATCCTAAATCTATGTTCGAACTATTCTGGGGTTCATTATAGGCGAGAGGGTCTGTTCGAGAAGTGGGATCATTGCTTTTGGGGGATTGGGAGCTAGGAGGTGTGGATCCGGGAGTTCGGAACTCCTGTTTCTTAGCCCAATAATTCAGGGCGTTCTTTTTACACGGGTTCTTTAGCTCCTGCAGGTTGGACAGGGACCTCCAGCAGATAGAAGCATGACATAGATCGGTAATGGCCGTAATCTGAACCCACGCACCTGATGGGTATGGTTGTTTGATGGGACGAGGCTTATGTAGCGCCAATCAGCCAATCCACTCCTACTTACTGCCAGCAGCAGGTGGCGCGTCTCCATAAGTGCGGAGGTGGCGAAGGCAGAATTGGGGGCTGGGACCCGGTGCCGCTTGTTCAAGCTTTTTCGGCTGGTGCTTTCGGGGTTCAAAGGTTGAGGGCCCCTCACCCTCTCCCGCTGCTCCCCAGTCGTCTCCCCGCCCCTCCCCCCTTCGAGTTTCCGACTTTAGAGGTTTAGGTTTCAGAGTTGGAGGTTCGGGGTTTAGGGAGTTTCAAACAGCCTGGGGGGGAAGGGGGTTTTTAACACTTTCTACACTCAGAGGCCGGAATAATGCCCAATGCCATGTTTGAATGTTCTTTAATTGTACATAGACATGTGATGTACCTGTCTACGTAAAGGACCCTTTATTCAGCTAGATTGTCTGCATCTGCACCTGTTGCGAGAACTGCACTCTGAACCTTAGGCAGGACATAGTCAGCCTTAAACCCCAAACCCCTGAAGCCCAAACCAAGAACCCTAAACCCTAAACAAAAACCTAGACACTAAAAAACAACCCTGCGCAGGATCCTAAATATGAACCCCGAAACAAAGGAACTACTCTAGGGAGCCTTAGCGTAAGCCCTGAACCCTAACCTATAAGCCGCGAACTCATACGCCCAAACCCACACTCCACTCCACAAGCAACAAAAAGAAGAGCCCTGTTTCGCATGTCAAAAAACCCGCAACACTGAAACGCTGCACAGACAACTCGAGTAGATCTGGAGAGGTTGGAATCTTTCGTAGTCGTGTTCCCCGGTGTGTTCCCTCCACAATTACAGTGGATTCTACACCAAATCCCTATTAGTGAGGCTCCCCATATAAAGCACTACACAACTTAAGAATCCGTTGGATGCCTCTGCAGAGCCCTCTACAAGCAACCCCGACTTTGTCTTACCCCGGCTTGTCCTTCAATGGTCGCAAGGCACCGACCCCTTTCTTGCCGCAAAGGTCGCCTGGCCTGGCTCGAGGTTTAAGGTTCTTGGGTCAGGGTTCAGGATTTAGGTTTCCGGGTCTGGGGTTCTACTTTGAGTTTAGGGTTCCTGGGTTATAGGTTTCAGGATTTGGTTTCAGCGTTCAGGGTTCTGCGGTCTAGGGTTTAATTCGGGTGGAATGGGGTTGGGCGCGACGAGCCCTAAGCAAGAAGGTTCTAGCGGGGGATATAAGTGTCGTGTGCTGGGGTTTCTCTGAGCATAACCCTCCCTGCTTGTGTCACCCCCCCTCGTAGAAACTCAACAGTCTACAGTTGCCATGTGAGAGCACTCATGACTCATGATTTGTCGCTTTTACAAGTATCACTAGGCCACAATGAGCCGCCCTCAAGGGCACCTGCTCACATCTTGCATCAGCTGGATATCGACCAGCCTGGCAACAGATCACCATCATCATCATCATCATCATTGCAGGGATGGTGGTGCAGCTGCTGGTGTCGATGATGGTGATGCCTGGCGATGGTGCTGATGATCACATCAACATAATGATGATGATGATCATCATCATCATCACGCATCCTGCGCCCACTTTCAGAACGCTAGTCCAGACACTAATGAATTTCGGCTGATAACAAAAGAAGGAGGTTATAAACTCAATGCCAAGCACCGCTAAACTCGAAAACATTATCACCCCAGATCCGACACTGTCCGACGCAAAGAAATGATCGAAGGTCTTGTAGAATCCGTTCGGCCGAATCCGTTCTCCTAGCTGGGTGCATACCTGAGTAAAAATGAGCCATGGACAAAATGGAGGCCTTTCCCCATGACGCGCAAAGGCTTCCGTGAACTAAAGGCGACCCACGCCGAAGTGGATGCCCGGCATGAGCGGCATTACATGCGACGAGCCAGACCGCTGTGCTTAGGAGGTTGTTGCGGCAGGGCAACGTGAACTCAGTAGCATAAAGCAGCCGCAGCAGTACTTTGCTCTTCGGGCTCCACGGCCACAGCGCCAGAGCCAAGCCATCCTTCTGTTGGCTGAGGGCCCCTCGAGGCTTCACTGTGATACGGTTGATGATATGAATCCTGCATTACCCATAATATGGAATATATCATAATTCCCATAGTTCAGGGTCCTTAAGGTAATGTAGGACTTATATCATCAACCGTAGTGTTCGCCCGTGAATGATCTTTTGCAGGGGAAAATTCAACTCCGCCGTTCATGTTCGAGGGCTTTGCATTGGGAAGCCCTCGGAATTCTTAAGATAGGATTTAGCGGGTTGTGGTCCGGGGGAGCCAAAACCTGGTGCTACAGTAATTTGGGGTTTTGGAGGGCTGTAGTCTTAAGCATTCCGAGGCTTAATTACTTGGGAATAGTTCTATGTCGGGAGAGGTTTGTGTCAAATAGTCCCCAAATATAGTCTTAAGCATTCCGATGCTTTTTCGGGAATAGATCTATGTCAGAGAGATTAGTGTAGAATTGTGCGTAAATACAGTCTTAAGAATTCCGAGGGTTGTTGAGGGTTTTTGAGAACACGTTGATGAATGAGAAGTCTAGTTTAACATCAGGGTAAGCGGGTTTGTTTGTGCCTGAAACATAGCATGTAGTCGAGGTGCGCTGAATCTAGCGTCATGTTGCCTAAACGAGGCCGTTTGGAAGTTCTGCGAGTGCACTGCACGAACAGTTCCGAACGGTTTCCCGAACAGTTCCCGAACGATTCCTGCAAGGTGTGCTATATACAGTAGTACAGTATAGGCAGTATAGGTGTGCCCCAGACAAGGCCCACTAGTGCTGGGACTGCTTGTGGGCTGGATGCCGAACAGTTCCGAATCGGTTCCGAACAGTTCCGAACAGTTTTGAATGGTTTCCCGAACGGCTCCCGAACGATTGTTGAAGGATTCCTACAGGGTGTGTTATATAAGTCTGCCCAAGGAATCCTTCAAGAATCGTTCGGGAACTGTTCGGGCAACCATGCAAAACTGTTCGGAACTGTTCGGAACCGATTCGGAACTGTTCGGCATCCAGCCCACAAGCATTCCCAGCACTAGTGGTCCTTGTCTTGGGCACACCTATAGCCTATAAATATATATATATATATATATATATATATACATATATATATATATATATAGATATAGATAAAGATATAGATATAGCACACCCTGCACGAATCCTTCAAGAATCGTTCGGGAACTGTTCGGGAAGCCATTCAAACTGTTCGGAAACGATTCGGAACTGTTCGGCATCCAGCCCACAAGCATTCCCAGCACTGACGGTCATGGGACTGTCGGGGACTGCCCGCTTGCCACGGTTCGGCTGAAACCCTTTAGGCCTGCCAATCAATGAAGGGATGGAGTACAGCCGGCTGGGGGTCAGAGAGTGGTGGCGTGGGCGATAGCTCCGGGGTTGGGCACCAGCTTTCGTCAGAAAACAGTCCGGCATGCATGGGAGGCCGTTCGTTGCTCCTTGGTGCCTCTCTGCGCCCCTCCATCCCTCTCTCCCTCCCGCCCCCAAAGAAGGTAAGGTTTCAAACATCAGTTCAATGATATCAAGTCAAGTAGCAAGGCCCAACTGAGTCAACAAACCGATTCCAACACAGCTTTCGCGCCACTTTGGGGCAATTTCCCAAACAGGTTTCACGCCACTCTTTGTAGCCTTGGGAGTGGCCTTTCAGGAGTCGGCGGGCAGTTTCCAAAACAGGTTTCGCACCGCCTTTCGAAGGCTCCGGGAACAGATGCCCACAGGTTTTGCACCAGGAAATGCTGTAGTCTTAAGCATTCCCAGGGTTTACCAAGCTTTGCAAGACTGTCGCACATGCTGCCAAGAGTCTGCGTGGCTTTCTTCTGCAGGGCCCTGCTCGAGGCCAACTTGCAAGATGACCTCGATAATATTGCTCCCCTGCTCCGCGGCACCCGTTCGAAGCGCGGTGGCAAGAGACGGATGGAGGAGCGGGCCGGACCCCGGGGCGGTGAAGCCGCGAAGGGCGGAGCAAAAAAGGGTTGCAAAGGCAAATTGGTAACGAGACGGTCGCAGCCACAAGTGCTTTCCAGCAGTTGCTGGGGAAGGTCATCAAGCTCAGGCCCTGAATTTGTCATGGATGACAGCGGCGAGAGAGCGCCAGAGGACTTCGGAAGCGGCCTTGGGGCAGATTTAAGTGTTCCGCAACTCATCCAGCGTGACTGAGCGCCATTAGGCAGCCAACCTTGCATGGATGACAAAGAACATCGATGCCATTCTGCTTGAACATATTGAGAGCATCCTCGAAGCTGCCATGCGGATCCTCCCCCTGTCCAATCCTGCTTGACGTCTCGTTCATGCAGACAGCTGCACCTTGGGGGTTTGGGTGATCCCATTCCTGACCTGATAGCCTGTGTTCTTGTTTTCGTTCTGTCGAGTGCCTTGACTTTGGAAGGAGGCTGCACTTTTATCTTTTGCGCTTGTTCTGAATAGGTGAACAGTGAACAAGTAGTCGCGTCGACCTCCTGTTGCACATAAGCTGCAGTCCCTTCCGCTTGTTGCACCGTTGACCGGGTTTGTTCTCTCAGCTGTGCAAGATTCAGAAGAACTTTGGAGTAAAACGGCCTGACTGAGTGCTTCCGATTATAGTTTCATATGATATATTATATACATTTGGCTGAAATTTGTATGTATATTATTTTAGAATACGTGTGTGGGCTGATCTGTACGAGTATTGCGACATAAGAGCTCTCCAGAGATAAAAAAAGTGCCCACTGGGTACTTTGTTCTTTCGTTTTGGATGAATTTTTGTTTTCGAAAAATTAGCTAGCGTGTCCAACACCTTGGTTAAGTGGTGATTGATTTTTTTGTCATGCTGCAGCCTTCTTCCCTCGTTGAGGTGATAGGCGAGAAATTCCTCTTCCCACCCAGCCCACCCTCTGTTGGGAAAGGCCTGCTGCATTCTCCGGGTCAGGTGCTTGACCCACCCGTTTACTGAGCAGCCGAAGGTTCCGCTGGGCCATTGAAGCCAAGACTTTCGCCTGATTTCCCGCAAAGGGAGCCATTGGACTTTGTTGTGACAGATTAACCTCACTGAAGCTACAATAACGGCAGGACCACGGCTCGTAAATTCCCTAAGCCGAGCCTTGACGCCTGCACCGCGCCCTGAACTATGACTGCGGCCGACCCTAAGCCTTGCAGGCCCTGTACTTTAAACCTTACATGGACGCTAAAGAACCTATTTTTTGAAACGACAAAACAGCGAAGTAAGAATCAGGAACGCTAAAACTGTAGGTCCTTTGGGTTTCCGGATACCTATAGTCTCCATCGTAGCCCCTTTTTTGGTTATCCAAAAACTCTATTATAGGATCCTAACCATAGTATTGTTTGACCAAAAAAAGAAATGCAATGGAGACTATAGATTTGTCAAAATTATGGTCTCGTTTTGGGTCGCTAAAATAGTACGGCACCTATGATTTAGAGTACCCAAAAACGGACCATGATTTTGACATCTACCCAGATAGACCCCACATCTCTTGGTCGGCTCGGCCCACCAGTTCCCTCCGAGGGCATCGAGCAATTCCGAGCAGCCAAGACCGACAGAGGCGAGGAAACTTTCGAGTTTAGGAACGCGGGTTAAGGGTTTGTGGAGTAGAGATTACGGATTAGGTTTCGGGTTTTTGGATTAGGTACTAAGGATTACGGTTTAGGGTCTCAATCTGCAAATGTGCGTTTTGAGATTACGACGATACTCTAGTTTGTTTGTGCATTGGGGATTAGGCTTTAGGGAGTAGGGTTAGGGATTGTGGATTAGGGGTTAAGGTTTAGGATTGGGGTTCAAGGATTTTGGATCAGGGATTTGGGTTTAAGATTAGGTCTCAGGGATTCTGGATGACTAGGGTTTAGAGTTTGGTCGACAGAGGCGAACAACAACAAAAACAGCTCGAGGCTTGTATTTTCCTTTGTCATCGAGTATAGCTATAAAATAAATAATGGAGTTCATTTCTGTTTTTTTCATTCTGGCCTCAGAAAATTTCTGGTATTCACTTTTTATTTTGATTTATGCTTTGTTCTGGTGTTCGTAAGGTCGTCAAATGCTTTTGGGGTTTGTTGTTCACCTTTTTTTGTGCTTCGCACGTGGTCGTTTTTGTGTTTTTTTCAGCGGGAGGAGGCCCTCAACGCTTTAGAGTCCTTTAGAGTTTAGGGTTCGGGGTTCAGAGTGGGAGTTCAGGGCTCAGGTGTGAGGGGGTTTGGGGGGTCTACAGCTAAACGGCTCTATGAGGGATCTACAGCAGGGTTCTGAAATATGGGGCCTTATATAGAATGACTGGTTCTATGTTCCTTCATTCAACTCAGAATGCAGGTTATGACTGCAGATCAGTTCCACGTCTGCGTGGTTTTGGAGCCGTCGGAGTTGGGGGACGAGTCCTTCCAAGTGCATTGCAAGCGTTGCTTGATTGCCTAAGTTTTTTATGGTATATATTCCTCCGCAAATAATGAAACTCTCAATACCGAAATCTCCCCCTGAAGTGCCTGATCTGTCAACTCGGACAGGTGGGTGGCGAGAGAGAACAGGACAAGGCTCCGTGCTATTTCGTCTGATATGTCATCCGGTTTTTGCAGCGCAGTGTGTGGTGGTAGATACCGCGTGGAGCCCGCATCCCTTCGCCACGTACACGGATCCGAAGAGAAGAGAGAAACAAAGCGAGAGAGAGACAGCGAGAGAGACGGAAAGCCTGACAAAAAAACAGAGACACTGAACGAGAGAAAAAAGGGGTGGACTTTCTCAACGGCGGGCGGGCAAGCCTAAGGCCGAGGCAGGTAGACACGCAGGCACGCAGGCAGACGGACACACGCACAGACACAGACATAGGCAGGGAGAGAGAGACAGAGAGAGGGAGGGAATGATGGAGGGGCTTGGGAATTGCGTGCTGGATCGGACGTTGACGGTTTGGTGGTTTCTTCTAGATTTCCTGAAAATCTAGACACCATATCTAAATTTCTCGCTTGCGTTTTTGCGGTGCGGCTGTCGACGTCTCGACGTGGGGAGCTTCATAATTAGATACACAGCAACTTGAATCAGACCCCAAACAGTAGGATCCTAAACGTGAAGACCGGGCGCTCAGAACTTAACCCTTGATGAACCCGAATATTCAGACCACTCTGTTATTCTGACCTCTAACCAACAATCCTACAACCTTACACCTGGCCAAACACAACTCGGTTGTAACGCACGAGCCCTGTATGAATCCTTTAATCAGGCAACATTCCATGAAACATTGGAAGACCTGGATGCTTTATGAGTGTTTGATAGTGTTTGCACACTGCACCACGCCTTAAACTAATTGCGGCAAGGCTGAAATCCTAAAATGCCTTGGTCCATAATCCCAAACCTGCAATCCTAATGCCCAGAGCAAACCTTTGCAGTACCTTAGCGTGTGTAAGCCTCGCGCTGCTGAGCTGACACCTTGCCCAGAGGCTCATAGTAACATAGTAGTTCCTTTTGGGGATAAACTTACAGGATTCTATCTACTATGGAGCCTTACAGCAAAGAGTTAGGACGAAACAGTCGCAGATATTGTTAGGATTTACGTTCCCAGCTTGGTGTGTTTGGCCAGGTGTAAGGTTGTAGGATTGTTGGTTAGAGGTCAGAATAACAGAGTGGTCTGAATATTGCGCCATGCACCTCATTATCCCCGTGTCGCTGTATATGCTATGATATGCCCCACATCCCCTTTCACAAATGCGACTATATGCGAGGGTCTCCAATTTAGCATTCAGTGTTCCTTGAACCAGAGGCGCCAGTGCAAAATGCGACGGGCCCGGTCTGGAATGGCTTGCCTGCGACTGAACAGCTGCAGGCAGGTTTAGGGTTCTCGCCTCCGCCACCACAGCCGCCACCATGTCCATTAACCCTAAACCCTAAACCCTACATCTCACCAGTGTCTCGTTTCCGGCATAGTCGGCATCGAAACCATCCTCTGCATCAGCTTCAGGATGGACGTTAGGTTGACCCCCACCGCCGGATTGGTTCTGTTCATTTTCCACTGTATGCTGTCAGGTACTACAGCGCTGCTTCAGAACTGCTCCGGGTTTTCAGCCGTGCGCCCCCACCCACCCCCGGCCACCCCCACCACATCCTTTCATACATCCCAATACAAGACTTATACGCCCGGCATCCAAGACCTTGAACAACCAAACTCAGATTTTTCATGAAACCCACTATAACGCTTATAAGCCCTGAACACTAAACCTTCAACAAAACTCAGAACCCCATCACAAGGCTTATGTGCCCCACAAACTCTAGTTTAACAAACAACAAAACTCAGAGGTTTCAGATCCCATTATAAGGCTTTTAGGGTTTAGGGTTTAGGGTTTAGGGTAAGCTGTAAACAACTAAACGCACACATCAAGAAGTGTACCAAGTCAAGACAACCGGGTGGTTGTCAAAGTTAGGGTCCCTTTTTGGGTCCCTTGTATAGTACGGCACCTAAGATTTAGGGTACCCCAAAAAGGGGGCCATAATTTTGACAACCACCCAACTACCCAGAGACTCCAATATCCCTTAATTAAGGAATATTCCTTAACTCATATTAGGGATCCTTTATCATAATTTAAGGTATATTCCTTAATTAAGGGATATTGGAGTCTCTGGGTAAACACCACTCATATGGTACCCTAAGCCCCATAGAACCCTTTAAAAGGAACCTTTATAGATCTTTAAAGGTACCTCTACACCCGAAACCCTAACCCCTAAACCCTATAAACCCTAACCCCTAAACCCTAAACCCTAACCCCTAAACCCTAACTAAACCCCTATAAGCCTTAAACCCTAAACCCTATAAGCCCTAAACCCTAAACCCTAAACCCTATAACCCCTACACCCGAAACCCTGAAACTCCCAATCTGCAGGCGGCCTCGATAGCCCGAGCCTCCCAGTCGGTGTCTTTCCCTCAGCGAGAAGCCGAAAGCACACACGCCGGGGTTTGGGGGGTTTTGCGTTTTTATTTGATTTTTGTGGTGTTTGGGTTTGGCGGTTAGGTTTTTTATAGTTGTGTGTTTGGGGTTGAGGCTGTTGATTTAGGATTTAGGGCTGTGAGTTTCGGGTTTGTAACCTCCTAAGCAGCGCGTTTTTGGTGGACTCTTGGACTTACATGAACAAAGGAAGCCAGAATACCAAAAGCAACCAGCAGGTTGCATTTGAGAGGATTCAGTTAGGGTCCAGGGTTTGGGGATTGGGGTCAGGGTGTTAGGGTCTGGGGCTTTTAAGTGTCCAACATAGCAGCTTGAAGAATTCATAGGACCATTCGGCAGGGCTCCTGAGTAGAAGTATAGTATACCCAAAGGCTCCATAGTAGTTCCTTTTGGGATTCCCTTAAAAGAATTTTAAATATGAGCCCCAAAAAGGAACTACTATGGAGCCTTAGGGTAGTTGGGGATCCACGTAACAGTTGAAGCCTGAACTTCAGACTGCCTTATAGTCAACCCGATACAAGTTGGAACATCGATTTAGGATGCTTCATGCTGGGATTCCCTTTACGTTACAGGGCATCAGGCTGCTGATGTTCCAACTTTCGGGCTTCTACTGTAAGCCCTATAAAACCCAAGCCCTGGACCTTGGATTTGACCTGAAGGTGGTCTAGCACCCCAAAAAATTTGCCTAAACCTGAACCCTGAAAACGCTAAGCCTCTAAGCTATGTTTTTGGAATTCCTTATTTGGATTTCTGTCACAAGGTAAACCAATGGTAAACCCCCACCCTGAACTCTTAAACGGCGTGCTGCTCTAAACTCTAACCCTAACTTCCCAAATCCTGAGTTAGGCCCTAAACTCCGAGTTCCCTAATCCCTAGGCCCTAAGCCTTTGTCAACCGATGCACCCGGCTCCTAGTCAGGCACACAACCTAAATTCCCTAGACCCTGAACTGAAATTTTCCTAGATCTACAACCCTAAACTCAGGACCTTAAATAGCCTAAACCGAATCGAACTTTAAATTCCTAGAGAAGCCTTTACAGAATATACCCCCTTTTAACCCTGAGCCCTAAACCCTTAACTCAGATCAGGCCAGCGCCTTCCAGTCCGCCGGCAGCCAACCAGCAGGCGACCCCGTGGATACTTGCGCAGCTGGGCTGAAACTGTTGTTCATGTGTTATTTCGTCGTTTTTTGCATTTTCTGGTTTGTTTGATTATGTTTGTGATGTCGTGTGTCGGTGCGTTGTTGCGCGTATCCTGATTTGTTCGTAGGGTTTGGGGCCGTGAAGTATAGTGTTGGTGTTTAGACTTCAGCATCTAATTGTGAGTGCCGATTCTGGGGTCCAGCGCTTCTGGGGGGGTAGCTTTGGGGTTCTTGGATGAATGTTGGTTGATGAGGGCTGTGGCTATTGCAGGCTCGGGGGCTTTAGCCAGTAGGGTACACATAGAGGCATGCGTGAAGCGATACTCCAATTTGGTTTACCTTATGTACAGTTCTGCTTCTACAGTGTATACACTTGCTCCTAACTGTTTCAGTTTGTCTTGAAAGAGTTGTGTTTTACCCGGTGATGCTTCTGCGTCGTGTTTTGAGTTTCAGAGCTTCAGGAGCTGGTTTACTTAGGGTTGGGTTTTACGATGTTGTACGGGTTTACGTAAACCCCCACCCCCGGCAATTGGCCGAGTGGGTTCACTGTTTTCAAGGATCGCCCAGAAAAAAGGAAGTGTCATTTCGGCACAGCCAACTTGTACATCGAGTATATCCTACAATGATAGTGTCAGGCCCGAGATCGTCTCTGCGTGCGTAATATAGGGTCACAAAAAATGCAAAAATCAAAACCTATTCTAATTATGAATTAACACCCCCAGGTTATGCACGGCAGGGTACTCAAAGCTTCCCAGACCCTTGACTATTGAAGGTTTATATTCCTGCAATCCAAAGACGAGTCTCTCGATTCTGCATGGTTCTTTGGTGGGTTGCAGAATCGGCTTGTCGCTGGGAGTTGCGAGGCCAATACAGGCCCAAGAGCAAGGAACGCCACACAACCTATCGCCCGACACCACTAAATATCCAATGCTGGCACATATTTGCTGGATACTGCTTCACACACTGCAACAGTTGAATCATATTTATAGTTTCTCCCTCTCTCTCTCTCTATATATATACACATATTTATATATGTATGTATGGCCTTCAATATTGCCCCTCATATGGACTGTTGCAGGGTGGGCACGGTACATATCCGGACATGCAGCACCCTTCCAAAGGGTAGTGGTAACCCCTAGGACCCCAAAAGCTCAAGAACCCTAAAGTCCTAAGTCCCAAATCATCCGAAATATAAGCCTTGAAACCCTAAACCCTAAGCCAACCCACAACACGGCAGACTAAGGCGAGGGGAGCGGCTGATTCCCGGCACCTCCTTTGCAAAGCATTGGGTTCCAAGTAGATTGCCCAAAGGGTCCAAGTACCATTATAGTATGTACTTAGTAGGTATTTGGGCCACAAAAGTATATACAATACCATTACTTGGTACCATTACTTGGACCCTTTGGGTTGTAGGAACCTGATTTTTTGAATCCTTGCGGGCTGTAGGCACCTGATGAAGTGCCTTGGATCGTTGTTAGGTTCTTGTGTATGGGGTTGTAGGACCAGGGTTTCTTGATCAGGGTCCTGCATTGACCGACATGTCCGAGTGGTCCCAGTCGAAACCCGAGGAAAGGTTAAGGCAGGGTTTGGTGACGTCGTCACGACAGGAGCGTTGGGCTGGCGGAGGCTGGCGTGGCCTGCAGCCGAAGAACCCAGAGAGCCCAATACCCCTTAATTAAGGAATATTAAATATTACTTAAATCATAATATGTAGCCCTATATAATTTAAACCATATTCCTTAATTAAGGGGTATTGGGCTCTCTGGGAAGGAGGGCCGTGGCCGTAGCAAGAGTGCCAGCAGCAAAGGCCAGAAAGCTGCAGAGCACGCAGTGCCCAGTGCAGCGAGCTCTTCCGGAAAGAAGCTTCGCAAACATGCCAGAGGAGGGCAGGACGGAGGAGAGGCAATCAGGAACCCTCTGCTGTTGAAGCTCCAGACCCTTCAAATCAAGTTCGGCAAGCCCAAATGGTCCAAGTACCATTATAGTAGGTACTTAGTACCATGAAGAAAATACTATACGATTGCTTGGACCCTTTAGGAAGGGGTTGCACAACAGATGAGCCAGGCTGTGCTGAAAGAAGTCAAAGCACGGCCTTTTTTCATCTGGCTGGTTGTCAAAATTATGGTCCCTAATTGGGTACTCCAAATATTCGGTGCCGTATTATATGATGGACCCAAAAAGGGGACCCTAATTTTGACCACCACCCATCTGGGTCTTTTCAAATCTCAGACCGACCTCAACCTTAACCCTAAAGCCTAAACCCCAAAGCCATGGACAAAACCCAAAAGCTGCATCCCCAAACCCGAAGCCAAGCCCTACGCCCCACACCTCTCTCCGGCTGCTCTGCAAGTACATGTGGAGCGAAGCCTAACGTTTAGGGCTTAATTGGGAGTATCCGAACATGAGGGGTGCGTCATTGTGGGGTCCTTAATATAAGGATCCTACTATTTAGGCTGCTATAATTAGGGTCCCCCACTTTCGGAAACTCCCAATTGGTGCATTACATCATAGCAGAGAGGTCGGAGAGTTGGATTTCGGGCTGAGGGTTTGGAACATTGAAAAGGAATGTCTTTTTGTTTTGCCCTCTAGACCTTAGGTATGGGTGCCAATGTTCCAACCTCGTACTTTCTACCAAACGGTTTCGGGTTTGGTTTGTTGCGATATCCGACTTGGTCGGGCAGGGTTCCTGTGATTTCGCTATCAAGGCTTAGAGTCCAACCAAACGGCAGAGCAGGGCATCGTAGTTCAGTTTTTATTCAAGCAGTAGTATTCTCTTGCAGTTCGGTCCTTGTATACCAGCTGCTCCATCAACCTCGCGCCGTTTTTCTGCCTTTGTGGTCCCGGTTAAGTGTCGAAGGTTCTTGTCACATTCTATGGCGACGCTACTGATGTCTAAAACATCTTGAATGACTTACTGCTCCCGCTCCAAGCTCGGAGAAGCAACGCGCACCTGTTCGCGTTGAAATTCAAGGCTTTGTCATTGACAAATCAAAGCGGTCCCAGACGTGTCGATGAAGATTCCTAGAGGTTTCGTGATTATGATTAAATAGTAAGCAAGAGAAGCACCTCTGTGGCCTGTGCTGTCCATGTCAGCATGTCTAGGGTTTAGGATTTCGTGAATTGCGCGTCCCTCCCCTGCCCACGGAGTCACCTGTAGAGGGTTTGCAGAAGGTCCAGTGGCAGAAACGTTTTTGAACGGGTTAGATGCATGGCTTTCCCGTTTCGTAGCCGACTTAGCCCGTGTGGTAGATGTAAAGCTTTAAAGGTGCATGCGCTAGCATGCCGCACATGCATGATCTTGCCCGGGTTTGGCTGCAACAGGCCATCTCAGCAAAACGATCGTGAATTTCAATCCCTACAATGTACTGCAAACACCAACGTCTATGTCGTTGATGCCACGGCCTCCTCATGCCTGTATTTGTAGGGGCCTTAAACATTAGAACAGGAATCGGGTTTATTTTGCTTTAATTGTAACAAGTTAAAGCATCAAAACCCTATTCTAACTTTTCAAGCCCATGCATTAGCGCTTTTCGGTTTATACGATTTAGGGAGCCTAAGAAGCCTTGCCTTAGTCTCGCCACGACCAGGTTTGAAGGCCCCACCGAAGGGACCGCCTCCTGCACCGCCTCAAGCATCGCAGGAGCGCGTTAGCCCAGTGCTGCTGGACGTAGCCTGTGTGTAACTATATGTGTATGCTGCCATGACCATCAGGCAACATGAGGCAACCACCCTTTAAATCAAGGACTTGCACAATTATACATTATACATCACATTTTATCATCATGTCACGTCAGCATCATCCTCACCGTGGTTATTTATCCTACTGACAACCAGTGCCGTCCCAGCGCCTGTACATAGCTGAGGGATGCAGCATGTTGTAGCTCTGTTGCGTCAAACGCCGGTGGGGGGGCGAGATGGGAGGTCTGTGACTGTACTGTAGTTCATATCAGGCCTGAGGTACACAAAGGCTTGCATGGGCTTTGGACTTTACGTATGTCCCATGGCTGGGGACTTCAGAAGTCAGGTTGTGGCCATGTGAAGCCATCGGCAGGGTCCGCAATCTCTGCTTCCGATCAAGCCTCGACAGCTTCGACGGTGCCACCGGCTAAACCCCTAAAGCTGCAAAACTACACCCCAAACCCTGAACCCCCTAAACCTCAAAGAGCGCAGGATGACCCTGATGAAGCCACACCGGTTCACGCGCAGCGGCGCTCAGTTTTGAGTGTGGAGCTTTTGGTGCGATCTCTTGTGTTCGGATCGGTCTTTCAGTGGTTGCTGTTGCCGTCCCCAGACAACCGGCACAGAGCCATTGTCATTTCTGGCAAGTGCACAGAATCGTTTGACTTTGGCGCTGCTTGCCCAAGTTGTGGGCATTGTGTCTAGGGTTGTTTTGAATTCAGGTTGCCTCCTGTGGCCATTTGGAGTTTACGCGTTTCCTCTGTGCCGGTACCAGAAAAAGGATCGACAAGTCACGGACAACAGGCTGTCTTGGCCCTATACATACCAACACGAGATTCCTAACCCCAGATGACGAACTCTTGCCCGAAATGCCGGAAGCAGAAATTCGCTGCATTTTGTTGGGTTAAGGGGTATCATGGATACCAATAGTCTCGGAGTTCTAGCAGTGGTCCTTATCACGGAACCCTTCATTGATTGAGGAGATGGGAGTAGAAGGATTAAGGGGTTGATTCTCCGGACCATGCAGCCAAAACCAGCCTGCTGCGTCATCTCGGGCAGCTAACCTGCTGTCTGAATAATAAAGACGCCTATCCTGCTATAGAAGTCGAAACAAAAATAACTACAGTTTTCCTCTATATTCGTTCTTCGATAATTTGGTGTGCTCCTCAAACCCGTATTCTAATCATTAAGGCTGCTAACTGTGTTATGTTGGGGATTGTGGGGTTCCCAGGACGCCCTAAAGCATGCCTACCCCGAATCGGCCTTGTCCTTTTTCATGGTTCCCCCAAAAGAATAAACAGACCGGCTAGTAGACCTTCCTAAACAATTCCTATTAAGGGATATAGGTATAGGGCTCTGTCGATTATTTCTAAACGGACAAGGGTGCCCCGAAACCTCAAGGACAAAGTCTATCATGTCCAGGCTGAGGTACCCAGAGGCTCCATAGTAGTTCCTTTTTGGAGTTTCCTCATAGAATTCTAAAATGAACCCCAAAAAAGGAACTACCATGGAGCCTTAGGGTAATTGCATAATATGAGACATATCGTTACCCGTCACGATGTGGATATCTTTTGGTTTTGGTATGGTAATCTACAGCTGAACACTTACGTTGCGGGCAATCCATACCAAGATTCCCGCTTAATGTCCTTGTATAACCCGAGACTCTTCCACAACATGGACTGTAGGGGCAAAAACCCTACAGTCCCTAAGGCTCCATGTGCCCATACAGTATATACATAGGCCTTAAAGTACCCATGTAGGGACCCCTTTACGGCTTGAGTATCTACTATAAGGGTACATGGAGCCTTCGGGAGTCTGCATGGAGCCGGAGGCCACCAGAGAAGAGCGCCTCGCGATCTCGCTGGTCGGCTGAAAGAAGAGCCGAGGCCACGCGAGGGACCGGAAGAGTTATAAACACAGCGTCAACCAGTTCATGTACACATATAATATATATATATATATATATATATATATATATACAAATATTTGTATGTATATATAATGTTGTATTGAGATATGTATAACTATGTACATATATAGGTATACTAACTACATATATATATATATATATACATACATAGATGTATATATATATATATATATATATATATGTTTCGTGTGTGTGTGAGTGTTTCTGTCCTCATGTGTAGTATACCGATGTATGGCTGCAGATGTGTATGTACATGTAAAAAGCTTATGATAGTCATCAAGGTTCATCACAGTGGTAAGAATAACAACACTAGCAGTGACCATGAGACTCAAGGATGATACTAATGTCACGCAATGTAAGACTTCGGGCTACCATGCCTTTGTTTCGAGCTTTGAATCAATTCAACTTCCAGCTTTGGAGTTCAGGGTTCAGGCTGTTGGCTCTCACAGATACTAACTATGCCGAGTTTGCTATTTGCGTACTTGGTTAGCTTATACCGTTGTACCTGTATCCCCAAGTTAACCCTATATAAAGTAGTAGGCGATGATCCCTGAAGTAGGGGGTCTCAGCCTTAAAGCAGTGGCTTCTTGCTTGGTCCCCGGTCATAAGTAAGGTTGCAAGATGTTGCAAGTACCCCCATCGGGGTCATCCCGCCTTTTAACTCTACATATAGCCTACTTCACCCTTTACGTTGAGTCAGGCATACCTGGGACGTCTCGGCTGTCTGGCGTGAAAAGGAGTTGTTCAGGGCTCATGCCCCATGTCTCGCTTTCAACACCCTCAGCTTCAACGTGACAGGCGTGAGATTGCTGGGGACCACCCTGAAGCCCTAACCCCTCCGTGAACCCTGAACCCCCCCACGCAACCCTCTAGCCCTCTCCTCCTCTCGGAGCAGCCGCCAAACGCCGAACCGGGCAGGTGCCCATGAAAGCGCACCAGCCTGAGTTGTTGCGAAGTGGGAGTTTCCGAAAATTAGGGGTAACTTACTTTGTGGCCCTTATAACAAGGATCCTAGAATTTGAGGTACTATATTAGGGTCCCCTATATTCGGAATAACTCCGAAGTGTGAGGGGCAAGACAAGTCTGTCTTCAAGCCGCCATGTCGGCTTTTGCTCGCATGTTGCTTGCATTTTCAATTTGGACTGTTGGACGGCCGGACAGACTGATCAGCAGAGCTCGAGGTCTTGAACCTACCCTTTCAGGGGTCTATAGAGTTTAGATAGGGTTGAGGGATTAAGGGTTTATTGGGTTTGCGGCTGTCCAAGCTGTGCTGTTGTGCACATACATACATGAAAGCTCGTCAGGGGCTTCCAGGTGCCGCCAGCATCAACTTGAGCCTCCTGAATCTGATGGCAGGTGCAGGTGGGCAGAGCACCACAGCAGAGCAGTGGCTCAGAAACTTTTCGATCGAAACCACTATCGTATAACGCCCGAGCCCCTGACCTGAAGGCAACACACCAAAGGGGAGTGGCAAAGTACACGGGCCTGCTTTGGGAAGCCACGATCCGCGAGTAGTACTCGGAAGAAGCACCTTCAGAGCGCAGGCGCTGGCTACTTTGCGCACAGATGCCGCGAAGGGACTGATTGGGTACAAGTTGTGGTTTTAGATTGGTGCTTCCATGTTTCGCCGTACTGCGGGGCTTCCTCTAATGTGCCGAAGGAGTTGCAATCTCGAGCTACTACGGCCGTTCGTCCCATGAATCCTACCATCGAAAGACCACAGCCCGAGACCCTAAACCCGACAAAAAGGCACAGGAAAGTCTCAGCCGCACATGAACATGCACATATCCTACCTAGGTAAGCTTGTCTGGATAGATGGTAGTTATGATCCGGGACTGGGCTTTGGAGTACCATACTTTAATACTTTTTTGGGGGACCTGTTACTTAACGGGAACCAACTATGAAATACAAGTCTATACTCTATACTTTTTTCTCCCTAGTTACTTCAAAGCCCAGGGAGACCTTGAGCATCTCGATGCTCGCCCCTAAGCTTCAAGCCGTAACCTCCGAAAGAATCTTGGGCCTTGTCAGAGCTTGTAGGGTTCAGGGTTTTAGGTTTAGGGTTTAGGGTTGTCAGAGCTTACCTGAACCCCCCAAACCCCTTAACCAAACAAAGAGCGCTCCTCTTTATGGGTAGTTGTCAAAGTTAGGGTCCCTTTTTGGATACCCTAAATACGTGCCGTATTATATTAGGGACCCAACAAGGGACCGTAATTTTGACAGCCACTTAAATGTACATGCGATCATCTGAGGCCACCAAAGCGCGAGCCGCCGCCGCCGGCGTCAGAGGTTTGGCCTTTGGGGGTTTTGAGTGCTCGGTTTTTTGGGGGTTCAGCAGTTTGAGTTTAAAGGTCCAGGATTGGGGGTTGGGGTTAGGGTTGAGGCTTTGAAAGGTCTGGAGGTTTACAGCATCGGGTTGAGGGCATAGACAGTTTGGCTATTGCTGGTGTAGGGTTGAGGGTTGGGTGGTTGTAACTTGAAACATGAGTTAAAGATGTTAAGGAGATTCTATACTTTATCTTGAGGGTATCAGGGTAACGATGTTTCAGCTTGCTGGCAGCCACTACTGTAGGCTTTACGGGGGCCCTTAGGCCCATAGGCTTGAAACAAACCCAAATCGCGAATCATCAGCCTGCCCTTCCGGGGGTTCACACATAGGAACCACAAGGCCCCATAGTAGCTCCTTTTGGGGATTACCTTATAGGATTCAAAACATGAACCACAAAAAGGAACTAATATGGGGCCTTAGGGCAGTTCTCTAGGTCCCTCCTAGGGTCCTTTTTTTATGAGGGTGCCGTATTGTTTGAGGGCCTATAAGAAGGACCAAAGCTCTCATGCGGGGACCCGACAGTCTTTCCGGAGTAAAACTCCGTAAAGAGAGACCCTACGCCTTGACGATGGTGTTTACCTGAAATTACTGGCGCTATCATAGACAGGTCGGCGTGCCCAGGGCGACGGAGCCGAAATCGTGCGGGGCTCAAGTTATCAACAACATCCTTGTCAACATGCGGGCCTGCCAGGATAGCTAGGGGCAGTTGACACGATAATGTGCATGTAGAAGTAACCTGCAACATACGGTAGATGAAAACCCAATGGACTTGGTTACCACAGTGCTCGGTCCAGCAGAACACTAGGTTGTCGACGGTGTCACCACCTACAGTGAACAAGTTATATAGCAGGAATTTCCAAATATGTGACAGGCAGCGGCCACGAACAGGAGCTTTGTTGCTATCTGTTCAGGAAAGAGTTTGCCCGCAAACCGGGAAGTAATGTTCTATAGCTTCAACAGGAAAACTTTCATTGAAGGTGTTAAGGGTGCCAATGCCAGTGTTACCACGCTGGTGCGCATGGGGCTTCAAAGTATTATCTCAGACATGTTCGTGTGAAGTACACCATGTGTTCCAAAGCAGTATGCAGCAAAGAGCAAAATGCAGGATGATCACGGGCCGTGCTAGCACTGCCTGGACCCTGAACCGCAGTACCTGGGATTGGCTCTGGGGATGCCCCCGGCAGACCCTAAGCCCTAACCCCACATCACAGCAAGGGGCCGACGGAACCAGAATCAAACAGGGTTCATTGGGTGTTGGGCTGATAAGGTCGTACCAAAAATGACACTAGCAATAGTAGTACTACCAACAAGGAAGAACGGGTTCAGGGTTTCTGGTGTGCTGAAACCCTCAAAGTCTAAACTCTGGGACAAGGTCTCCGGTTCCTGCGGTGGCATCCTGGCAGCATGCTGCTCCGGTTCAGCTGCTCTCATCTTGCCTCTTGCGGTTTAAGGTTTAGGGTTCAGGGTTTAGTGTGGTGATAGTCAAATGCACACTCGGAGCTCGCAATGACTGTGGCTCGACACTCCTAGTAGAACATCGTCCGTTGTAAACGGAGTACCTGAAGCAATCCTCAAGGCTCCACTGCGAATGGCTCTCATGTTGAGGTTAATTTGTCTAACCTGCCATACGTGTTTCCTTTGCCATGTTGAACCGTTAGGCACCGATCCGATGCCAAGCACTCCAATCTTCTGTGTCGCCTGCCAACCTCAGGCAAAGGCCCCACCGGCTGTGCTGCCGAGGTGTGGAACTGTGTGCGCTGTAGGGACTGAGTCAGGGAGTGTTATGGGCGTTTGTGTTTTGCGATGTGTGTGTGTGTGTGTGTGTGTGTGTGTGTGTGTGTGTGTGTGTGTGTGTGTGTGTGTGTGTGTGTGTGTGTGTGTGTGTGTGTGTGTGTGTGTGTGTGTGTGTGTGTGTGTGTGTGTGTGGGTGTGTGTGTGTGCGTGTGTGTGTGTGTGTGCGTGTGCGTGTGTGTGTGTGTGTGTGTGCGCATGCACGTGCGCCTGGATATGCGACGACGGCTTAGTGCATCTGAGTGGATGCATTCAAGGTCGGAAGTATGCCTGTATTTCCGAACATTCTGTGAGCTCCATTCAGCCACACATCATTCCTAAAGCATGAACCCTGCAGCCCAAAGCCTCAAACCGTACTGCAGGGGCCCGAATACTTAGAATAAGGCTTCGAGGGCTCCTTATTATACTTATAGTATACTATACCCCCAAACCCTATTCTAATTACTAAGGCCCCTATATGACATCCTCAAACCAGGCTCCGAAAAGTGGTCCCCAAGCACGCAAGCCTCCACGCCCTCGGCGAGGTTTGCAGGCTTTCCGCCACCGCCAGCAGAAGCTTTCTCGGCGTTGGAGGTTAGTCTAGGGGCACTCTAACTATAGTATAATGGGCCCCAAAACCCTGTTCGAATTGTTAAGGCCCCTACATTGTTCTTTCATTTGTTGCGGCGTGTCCCAACGACAAACACAGTCATGCAAAAAAGTATGCACGTAGCTTGCTCGGAAACTGAATTCAGACAAAGGGTGTTGCCCAATATGGAGCCAGACATTGCGTAGTATGTAGCAGCAAAAAGCCCAAAAACTGCACCCAGGCATTGTAAGACCTCAGTGTCAGAAGCCATTAGACGCCAAATACCTCTTATTGTGGGCAATATTGCCATCGTTGAAGATACAGGAGGGTCCTCGCAAGTAATCGGGTCCTGGGTATATTATAACGACCACCTCAACACCCAAAACCCTCAACCCCAAACTATAAAATTCGATCCAACCCTAAACCCTATAGGAAACTCCAGAAAGTTGGAATATGGTTTCAGGGTAGGATACCCTATAATTTACCATAGAAGGGTTAGGATAATCATATTCCAACTTTCTGGCTTTTACCGTAAATCCACAACCCTGAACCTGAAGCCCGAAAACTTGAGCAGGCCCGCTGTTTTTGAACTTGCATGGTTGTTAGCTTCTAAGGGTTTCCAGGTGGGTGTACGGCCCACGCGGTTTCGGGTTTGTTAGAGTCTGGGGTTTATAAAGCTCGCAGGGCTTATAGGGTTTAGGGCCGCAAAAGCGTATAAATCCGAAGGTTTGAAGATGTAGCGGACTACTTTGCGTTTTTGAATTCAAGCTACTAGAAGCTACAGCGCCGCTGTAGGACCCTATGCAAAAGCAGGTGGATTCCGGTAGCTGATCTTGGAGATAGTTTTTGCAGTTGAAGTTGCCTTCCAGTCCAACATGCAAAGTCTAGAGCCGCCAATGATCGGGTGTAGGATCCAGCAAGAAGTGATTCGTGAGAGCGCAGTTGTAACAGGGAGCACAGCTTACCCATCTCACTACCCCAGAGGCCCTATAAACCTGAACTCAGAACCCTGAACCATGCACAAGTTCAGAGTCTTCATGCCGAGTTCTAGCAATCGACATGGCCGACTGCCTAAGTTTAAATCTTGATGCAAACGTTCTCCTGTGAACCTTTGTAATGCCTTACTTCCTTTAGAAGCCCATAAGCACGCATAGCAAAAGCCCGTAGACAGAAATTGCATGAGGAAATCTGTCCTCCTGCGCCGGTCCATCAAAGAGAGGTGGACCCATTGGAGGACGTTTTGAAGCTTTATTCCTAAGCCCCTAAGCCTAAGCCCTAAACCCTAAAGGCCAGACCTCATGAAGCCGTGCATGCATTGTGCGAATGTGCGAGTTGAAACCGTGGTCTTGGGGATTCAAGATTTCGGGCAGGTCCATCTCCAGCCCTCTGACCCGCCAGCCCGTTTCGCCAGTTTTATACACTCCCACGAACCACTTAGCACTATATTACCAAGTAAAAAATTATGTAGTATACTATAGTATCACCATGTGACATGTTATACAGTGTACTATCATTGTACCATGCGAAATAATCTTATATAGTGAGCGATAAGATTATCATGTGAAATTTTACGTAGTATACTATGATACTACCATGTAATTAAAACATTAAACAGTATACTTTCATAATGTCATGGAAAATATTGTGCTACAATACTGTAATATACCCGAATATACTATAATGGAATACAATGTACTACCATTTTGGCTTTCCAGCCGTCCGTCCAGCCCTCCCGCTTTTAAAGAGCTGCCCACCTTCTAGCCCTCGAGCCCGAAGTTGTTCCATCCAGAAGGGCTTGCAGTGTCGAGGGGAAGAGTCGAGGCAAGTTTGACTCAGAAATCCTGACGCCATACTGTTGATGGACAAAATCCTGCATTACCCATTATAAGGAATATGCCATAGTTCCCATAGTTTAGAATCCTTAGGGTCATGCAGGATTTTGTCCATCAACAGTAGTACCCATATGTGAAATCTTCTCATTTCACATCGGGGTGTCGCAGAAGCCACGTGAGAGCCAGCAGTCCTGTGTGGCCGTCGCCGAAACCCGTCAAGCTTCTCTGAAAGCTGTGGTTTCTAACAGAACTCGGGGACTGGATGCGTTTAGGGGAACGGATCAATAAATGACGTGCCAGAAACACAAAAGAGAAGTGAGTGCAGTGGGCGGCTCAAACAAGGCCCTACAAGCTACTGCGTCCACCTGTTCCCGACAACCGATATGCAAATCGCTGCAATCCTCGCGAGCCAATTCCATTTGGGAACAGGGGACACCGTATACCCCCGTACTGAAGAGTAGGCACCTCAAACTTAAACACGTAAGCCCCAAATCCTAGACTCTTAGCCCCTTAACTCCGAAAAGTCTACCTCTTCGAGCAACTATACAACGAAACCACAACAAGAAGCCTTAGCAAGTTTTGGTTTAGAGTAAAGCTAGAGGCTTAAACCGTGAACAGCTCCCATAGAAGCCTGAATAACTACCAACATCATCCCGTAGGGTTCCTTGATACAACCATGCTGCTATAGAGTACTATAGAGTGCCCCAACTTCTATCTAAAAAGTATGCTAGAAACAGAGTACCCCAACACCCCATTCTACTTAATCAGGGCCCCTATCTATCTAGCTATCTGTCTATCTATATATCCATATACTAGGCTATACTATAACATACTATCCTACACTATACTATAATTGACTTGTATATTACATATGTCCATACATACATATATGCATACATGCACATGTAGTACGTATATGTACATATGTGCACATATATATATATATATATATATATATATCTGTTATATGCACGCATGTTTGTATACACATATCACGCACACATATTTGTGCATACATATTGCCAAAGCTCCAGGACCGATCGGCTGCTGCGTTTGCACCTCCCGGGCTGGAGCGATTAGAGGACGGGCATTTAGGAGGCGTTTCAGGTTTTTTGGGGGTTTAGGGTTTAAGCTTCAGAGTTCGTAGGTTTAGTAGGGGTTAGGGTATGATGGTGACGGTTTAGGGTTTGGAGTTTGGGAGGCCTTGGAATCTGAAGGTTTGAGAGCTTTGAGGGCTTGGGAGAGGCTTGTACATTAGTTTTTGGATGGCTTTGGAGGAAATGTGCTTGCTACACCTGTGGCCGAAAAGACCTCTCCTATTCTCAAAAAGGTAGGTCTTTTCGGCTACAGGTAGGGCCTAGGGTCGACATGTGAGTTCGAAACCCAGCCTGTAAGCTCCTGGGCTAGAGGCTACAGGTAGGGTGCGGGAATGTTCTGTACTGGATGTAGGGTTTCAGGTCCCAGTTTGGTCGGAGATCAGCAATCGAAGTGGTTTTGGGTTCCTCTGTTGTTTTTTAGGGTTTAGGGTTGTAGGCCTTCAGCGCGAGCCTAGGGAAGTCAAGTTCAGAGTTTGGGGCTTCGAGGGTTACTCAAGGAAACCCAAACCGAATGCAATCGCAATTTGAAGTATGAAGCAGGAGCCTTCCTTTCATGTTACTGTAGCGTACATAGCCGTACCAATCGCAAACGGCGAAAGCTATTGTACGGACTAAGGAACCCGGCAAATAACTTAGTCGCTGAGTGGATCCACTTTACGCTTTTTGAGAAATTACTACCCACCATAAAACTAAGAGTGTACACTTTTTGATTTGGGGGCTTATGAATTCAGCAAGTAAGCAAACAAGCGGCCAAGTCACACAGGATTGGCACGGGCTATCACCCGACCCGAAAGTCCACCAGTGCGATGTGCCGGATGAGCCTCCGACATCTGGGAAGTGTCAAAATTAGCACTTCAGGAATTAGAAGGTTGAGAGATCCTAAAACCCAAGTTTGGAAATCTTAATCCATTACCTTAATCTAGGAGCCGCGCACCCTGAACTGTTAGTTTTCCTGTTTGTCGGTTTTGGTCCTTCAGCTGGTCATCACCACCTTCTGATTTCACGAATCGGAGTTAAGGTCGGCAGCATGCTCGGTTTCTGAGAGATCAAGGTTTCATTCGATTTCAGTCTCAGGTTATGATTCAGTTGCTTCAGTTTAAAGTTGCTTTTTACAGTTGAGGGTTAAGCGTTCATGGCTTAGGGCATAGTCCGTTAAGTTTTTCGGGTTTCGAGCTTGGGGTTAAGGGGTTGCAAAGACACGTTTGGTCTTCAATTGAGCGGTCACAATACTAATTCGGAACAATAGCAGTAGCAGTAGAAATGGTATTAGTATCAATAATAGTATCTATTCTCACATCAGCAAGTGAAGCAGAAAGCCTTGGTGTAGAAAACATGTCGGTGTTGCTGGCTTTGAGCTCCGATGATCTCAGCGTTTCCTGCATTGATAACAAAGTTTACACTTTAGGGGTTAGGGTTCAGGGTTTAGTGCCGGAAACCCGTTGCAACAAAGCGCCTGAATAGCCACAACAGGCCTGTTGGGGTACAGTAGACTGTAGCCATATCAAGGAACCAATTATTCAGGCCAGCATGTTGGGTTGCAGGTTCCATGTGAAGCCATTGCACATTATGCGGGGCCTGAATAATTACCTGTACTATTCTAGTGGTGCCTTAATTTGGCTGCAACATAATATGCCCTCAAAGCCGACTCTAATCATTGAGGCCCCTCTTTTAAAACCGTAGCGTCTGAGGTTTAGGGGGCAGCGAGGCTCCTGGCTGCCACAGGCATCAAATTAACCCTAAACCCTAAACCCTAAAGGGCTTGAATGAACTTGAAGCCTGAGCTGTAAGCCCTACCTGGACCCCAAAGCACCTACCTTTTCAAGGACCTATACCTAAAATCTAAAAGGGAAGGTTTTATAGGGTCCAGGCAAGCCAGGAATTCCTAAACGCCACAGTCAAGTGTCATGAGGCCTGGAGCTGTACCTCTACTTGCGAAACCCTGAGCAAAGAAAGAACCACTTGCAAATGTCCCACTATGGGCTTGAATAATTACCTATACTATTTTGGGGTTCCTGATTATAATTAGAGTGTGATGGGCCCCAAACCCTATTCTAATTGGTAAGGCCCCTACGGCACTGCGGAACCCCAGGGCAGACTTTGGGCATAGAACCCTGAAGCCACGCGGTTTCGATGCACCTAACCCCAAGGCTCCATGTACCCATATAGTATATACTTAGGTCTTACAGTATCCGTATAGGGACCCCTTTAAGGCTTAGGTATCTACTATAAAGGTACATGGAGCCTTTGGGCTAAGGAGCTGTCGGACACCGACTTCTGCGACGTTCCGCCCGGTAGGCGGGAGCTGTCTGAGGACCCGCACGACAGATCTCTGGCTGCACGGTTTAGGGTTTAGGGGTTTAGGGTTTAGGCTAAGGCGTTTGGGGCATAGGGTTTAGGGTTTAGGGTGGTCGGGGAAGGTACTATTACAGGGTGGGGGCCCCTTCTAAGCAATACCCCAAGACCCCATTCCAATTAGTGCGCACGGCCGCTATTCATGATTTCGATTCAACTCAACGTTCCTACCTATGGATTTGGGAGTTTCCGAAAATAGGGAACCCTGCTATAGAACCCTAAATAGTAGGATCCTGATTATACGTACTCCCCAAAAAGGTACCCGTAATGTCGGAAACTCCCATTTGGTTCTGTTGATGCATGCACTGGTCTTGTTTCGGAATGACGCTGAGCAGAAGGGGTGTCAGTGATGTCGCAGTGGCTGAAAGGATATGTGTGCATCTGACTTGCGGCATGCTGACCATCTGTGAGCCTAAACCCCAACTAAACCCTAAACCCAAAAAGTCCTAAATCCCCAGGCCCTGAACCCCAAACTCTAAAGCCCAATAGCCCTCAACGCCTAAGCACTTGCAAGAAGAAGCTGAGGTGAAGAGGAACTCCAATCCTTCAACCGCCTCATGGGCGAGGAGCAGGACGGGAATCTCCAGCATGCGGCTCCTGCGTGATGCTTCCCGTAACCCTTCCGGAAGCCACCTAAATCAAACAATCTTCTGGAATAATATAGGGGCCTTAACAATTACCTATTCTATTTTGGGGGTTCCTTACTGTATTCATAGTATTAGTGGGCCCCAAAACCCTATTCTAATTATTAAAGCCCCGGCATTATCTGCAAAGAGGCCGTAGAGAGGAACCTGACCAGCGTGAATAGCCTTGGCGAATTCAGGGTTGAGAGCTCGTGTCCAAGCCCCCAACACCACGGAACCGGGATGCGCGATAGACATAGCCCCGTCATCAAGGTGTGGCCTAAAGCAGTGAGCGACTACACAGACTTATGCGTGCATGTATGTCTTGTAGTTTCATATACTAAAGTATATACATGTGTATGTGTGTGTGTGTGTCTGGATATAGCTGTGTTTATATAAACATATGTATGTGTATGTGTAGGTGCCGGTATACATGCATGTCTTATCATTTCTTTGAAAGGCATGTGGTTGCTGTATGTATGCATGCATGTATGTACATGTATCTACAATTGTATGTGCATTAAGTCTGCACTTCTGTCTGCAGGATGCGTGTCTATATAAGGTAGTATGTACATGCATGTGTCGGGTAGCGCGGCATAGTGTATGGTAATGTGCTGCAGTGCGAATTCATGTAATGCAAAGTGTCGTACAGTAATTTAAGGCATGTTGCCGTAAATTAAGCAACATGGAGTAGAACATCATAACATTATGCAACAAGCTCGTAACGAAGTGTAATGCAATGAAGTAAGGTACTTTCGATGTATAGTATAGTTGTGAGGCACCAGCAGATGAACCGTAATGTAGTGTTATACTACAGATGTGAACATGTTAAGTTAAGGCACCAGCACGTAAATGTTTAATAGTACGTCACCCAGTCATAGTTCACCGATGTATGAATGTATGTGGTGGGGTCGTGTATGCCGGGGGCCGATGTATGAATTTATGTGGTGGAGTCGTGTACGCCGGGGGCCAAACCGATCTAAGACGGCTCGGATCTAGCCAAGTCTTGGTCAAGCAGGTCCAGCTGCAGTTAGGAGAGTAAAGCTCGTCGCAGGCTAAAGGACTGGGAGGTCGATACTTTGTGGCTGAAGCGCTTTGCCCAGAGAAAATTTAAGAGATCTGCTCAGGGCTTCCCGATACGCAACATCGTCGTCGTCGTCGTCACGGCTGTAGCTTTTGTTGTTGTTGTTGTTGTTGTTGTTGTTGTTGTTGTTGTTGGTCGTGGTGGTGCTGCTGTTGCTGCTGTTGCTGTTGTTGTTGCTGTTGGTGCTGTTGTTGCTGTTGCTATTGAAGGTTGCTGTTGCGCTGTTGCAGTTGTGCTGTTTCTGTTGTGCTGTTGCTGTTGCGCTGTTGCAGGCTTTGTTGCTGTTGGTGTTGCTGTCGTCGTTGTCCTCCCCATTGTCGGTGTCATTATTATGGTAGTGAAACATGGGCATCATAGCCAAACCGCGTGATGCTCTCCATTCCACATTGGGAGAGATGCGCATATCTACAAGCAGACCTTGCAAAGTTACCTCGGCCCCTAAACAGCAAATGACTGCAGGACTGTCCTCTAGCTGCCAGTCCCTACAATGGCTTGGTGAAGGCCTGTCCCAACTCCGCTTCGCTGTGCCTGAAAGAGCCAATACTTAGTAGCTGAGTGGATACAGTTACATTTTTTGGGAAAATCACTACCCACTATGAAACTAAAAGTGTACACTTTTGGGGGGCCTATGAACTCAGCAACTTAGAATAATTATTATGGACGAGGGAAGCTCCAGACCCAACGCCTTTAAGCCGAGCAGGGCTACGAAATCTGGGACCGGAAGAGAAAGCCTCGGAGCCCTAAAGCCAGGAAGCCGTACCCAGACCCCCCGGAGGATCTAAAAAGTAGATCTCCGAATTTGGGGCCCTATACTACTAAGGGTACTTTAAAGGAACCCCTATTAAGGGCCTTTTTGGGAGTACCTTATAGGATTCTAAATATGAACCCCAAAAAGGAACTACTATGGAGCCTTAAGGTAGAGGCCAGATCTGACCTCGAAACCTGCGTCTGCGCCGTTGCAACTGCGTATCCAAAGTCCCAAGGGTCTCTAATTTCAGGAAGCGACGGGTTTAGAATGGTCCCATGCTCAAAAGAGCCAGTTTGCACCAAAGCTTTGAGGTTCGGGGGTTGCTGGGGTCGCTGCTGCGGTTGATTCGACTCACAACTCGTATTTCTGAAACTTTGTTCCTCAAATGCTACCCTATACCCTAAAGTGTTGCTTGAGGGTTAGCCTGAGCCGCCTCGAGATACGAGAGAGATTCCGAGTCAATGAAGCCAGACAGCCCCTTGAAGATTCCCAAGCCTACCCCAAACCTCAAAATGTGGGCCTTAAGCCCCTGTGCCCGGTAAAACGAAAGTGCCAAACCCAACAGCCCTAAAACATCAAAAGCCCCGAAATTTTGCTAAATCTTGCGCCCTAGGCCCTAAACCCTAAACCCCCCCCCCCCCCCCCCCAAAAAAAAAAAAGACCCTAAACCCGCAAGCCAGGAGCCCCACCCCCGGGTCGTTCTCCCTCCGGCTTTCCTGGAGCATGCGTGGATCCGCCATCTGCCGACCATCAAGGTGCATAGGGGCTGGGTTTAGGGGGTTGAGGGGGTGTAGGGTCTCGGGTTTTGTTCATGGTAATATAGGGGCCGATATAATTACCTATACTAGTCTCGTGGATTATAGTGTAACGGGCCGCAACACTCGATTCTAATTATTACGGCTCCGAGAGTAGAAGCTGGGTAAAAGAGACGTCGCTGGGCAAGAGGAGCAGGAGGAAGAGTAAGCAGTAGTAGTCCCTTGCATATAGCCCCACACGGGAGTTTCCGAAAATGAGGGCTACCTTATTTTGGGGTCCTTATAATAAGGATCTTACTATTTAGGTTGCTATCTTAGGGTCCCCAACTTTCGGAAAGTCCCATATGTACCTGTAGTGTAATATATCCAAAAAAACTATAAGTATGCTAATGCTAATCAGTAAGGCGCCCATAGCAGTCCAGCTTCAACCTTTCGGGGTAACAAGACACCGGTTAATCGTCGCTTGGGCTATGATGTAGGGTTGCAGGCTCTGAGAATTCGCGGGTTTAGGGTGCATGATGGGTTCTACGTTGCTTCTTGAAAGTAAGTTATGTTGCCGCAGCCGTAACAGGCTTAGATTGTTCTGATGACACTTTGTAATTAGGGTGTGTGGCAGGCTCATGATCTGCATGTATGCTTCCTTGAACTTGTCAAGGCTGTGTTGGATGCCTCTTCGGGCTTAGAGTTTAGAGGTTGCTTCAGGTGTTTCCGGTCCCTTCAAGTTCTCATTCTCGAGCTCTTCACGTGCCTCCGGACTCGTACGAGGGAAGCTGCTCGCATATGAGGATCCATGCTGCGGGATCCCTTTGTAGCGTGAGGTACGCTATGAAGGCTCTCTAAGACACTTTATGAGATATGCCTTGCTCCCGAATATAGCTGACAGCCTTTGCTGGGAAACAACAGTTTCAGAAGATGAGGTCTCATCAACAGCGGCTTCCAGCCTAATATATGATACCGAAACGGGGCCTCTAGCCTGACGAAAAGCAATATTATTGAATAGTTTCTCCGGACAGCGAATTTATGTACAACAGCAAGAAGTGTACACGATGGTCTTAGGTTTTAAGTTTGGAGGTGTGCCTAGATGAACACCCCGAATCTAGAGCAAATGGTGGTGCAGGGTCCACCATTGGCAGGACACCGTTAAAGTGCCCTGTCGGGCGTCCTTGGGTGTAGGGCTTCGGGTTCTCTACAGGTTCCATAAAGGTGTCCATTGCGGGTTGCTGTAATGGCTCTGTCAAAGCTGCCCCAACTTTTACAACACTTTCGGATGCCTCTAAGGGCTCTCATATAGATCCCTTCCTGTTGAAGGAGTACTTCATGAAGTTGGGTGAGACAGAGTTCATGTCGAGGCGCGGTGGGCTCTGCAACCGTCAGGGTTTGAGGGTTCAGGGCTTAGATGCAGGACTGTGTCTTGTCGGGCCAATGGGGTTCCACGCTTTGGTCGTGTGACGGTTGCAATAGAGAGGAGACCCAATATAGATCACAAGAAGTAATCAATTAGGATGTTGATTACACTGGCCGCAAAATCAACTGTCAGGCTGCATAGTTCGATGTGTCTTTATTGCTGATGCCTAGGGCTGGATGCGGCCAAGACTACCAGTTCATTATCCCGGGTTTGTTGCTAAGGGGCCTATGTTAAGTTTCCATGATGCTAGATAACCTGCTTTTGCTGTAACAAGTGGGAGCTTTAAGTGTTAACTCCTGCACGCCGCTGCACAAAAGCCGAGTATCCAGTGGGGGAATGCACCCGAAACATTGCTTGAGCCTACGGGTCTCCCTAATACCCCAAATAAGACATGCTTGGTTAGTAGGGTTTACATAGGTTGGAGGAGTCTGGCCCTATGTGCCCTGACACCGGGCTCGGAATTTTCAGTGATAATATATCTGTATATACATATACATATACATATATATATATACATAAAGTACAACATCACCCGCAACATGTGCATAGTTTTCAAGGCCTCTAGCCTAAACAGAGCCTCCGACCCCAACCTCTACACACAAGGTGTCTTGTGCTTCAGGAGGAGTCGCGCTAGAGAACTCTCTGTTTTAAGCCTGAGAAAGACTTTATGAAGTGCCCGCAGATTTTGTCCTGAGCTCCAGCCGCGCTTCCGGCAATCCTGGCACTTAGTGGTCCCTCAGTTTCTGCCTGAGTGGGTACGAAAAGTAGAGGACACGGCGGCAAGGAGGGGCATACTCCAATGGAACTTGCATGAGATTCGTTCAACATGTCCCAAAAGCGACACTAAGCTTAAGATCGATGTAAACCAAAAACCATATGTATTGTCCAGGCTTCGTTTCCCGATTGGGCCTACAAAGTCTACCATGGCCTACCCTCTTGCAGGTTCCGTCATGTATTCTTTTGACTCTATACTGAGGACACCCACAGCAGGTTGTGGTAGAAGCACACCGATGGTCACCTCCAGGCCAGTCATAACCAATCCCCAAGCCTCAATTTCTAGTCCTTCCGCATTATTCCAGTGCAGATCCCCAAACTGTGATTGAGCACCACGACGACCATGACGACCACGACTACCAAGACAATCACAACTTCCGCGACATCCGTGACCATTAGGACCACCACGACGACTGCTACGACCACCCTGCCACAGGAGACCACCCTACGATCACCAGGAGACCACCTGGAAACCGCGGCAGAGCCCAGGAGCAGGGCCTTTATGTTTTCCCAAATACTCGCGGGATCAAGAGAAAAAGCATGGCGAAACATTCCTAGACCCTAAACCCTAAACTCTAAGCCCAGTTCAACTTTTAAAAAAACAACTCGAAGCCCTAAACCCTGAACACAACAAGCAGGTTAGAGGCGCCTTCTGGATGATGCGAGCTCCGGAGGACTCTCCTGGTGTCTCCTCTCCTCGCCCGAAAGTCGACATAGGAGCCCTGGAGTTCCGTTTCAATACACTTGAGGGTACTTAGAAATAGTTCTTAATTTTTGGTTATTATAATCCCTAAGAAACCGCTAAAATTGTAATTGTTGCTAGGGTTCTAAGTTCAGTATAGTACAGGTTCCAAAAGCACTTTTGTAAGGAGTGCATCAAGATTCTATTGGGGTGTTGTCCCGAAATTTTGTAGAGGTTCTCTAAGAGTACCTGAAAAGTTCGGTAGGGGTCTATAGTCTATAAGCTTCGGGTTTTAGGAATATGTACATAGGGTTTCGCGTTGAGGGCTTTGGGTTTTGGGCCTTAGAGGTCAGGGTGGCTTGGTCAAGGCCTGTCTTTTTGCTGTATAATATTCTTGGTGTTTGTTGTTACCCTGAGGACTCATAGTGGGTTCCTTGTTGGCTACTTTGGGGCCTTAGGGCAGTGGGGAACTAATGCTCAAAACGTAAAGGTGAAACTTGGAATGTGTCAGGTTCAGATTTCAGGACTTGCTAATTATTCCGGGCTTGCAGCTTAAGGCTTAGGACTGTAGGATGAAACATGTATCATATAGAAGCCCGGGTAATTATTCCTCCGGGTTCCACATTAGTTATAAGTTGTAAGTATAGTTTAATGTACACCCAAAACCCGAGTGAAGCTAGGTCACGCGCGCCCCCAGGACCCTGGTGGTTCCGTGGCGAGTGAATGTGCTCGTGATTCTCGTGGAAAAAAGGATATCCACACTCTGCAGAAGTTTGATTGCACCGAACTTCACGGCACTTAGTTTCGCGATTTTGCTTGCGATGTTGTACTAGTACATTTGTTCCGAGGGGTGGTGTTGCTCGGCAGACCTTTGCAGCACACACACCTTGCGCTATGGTGCAATGCAAGCTCCAGATAAGATGTCGCCAAATACACTGAGCTCAAAGACCAATACAACTGTTCATTTCAAGATGTCGGATTCGTTTAAGCAGCTTCCAACCCCAAAGCTTCTCATGAAGATATGAGGGGGCCGCGTCAGGAGGAAACCCATTCTGCCAAAGGACAAATAGTATGTACCAGGGGCAATCATCCTAACCACCACGCGTCACCAGGGTTTCGCGCGCAGGGCGTGCAGAGTTTGGGATTTCGGTTTGGGGGTGCCAGACAGCTGGTGCAGTCTCTTGAGCTTGGAACTAGCAGGAAGTTTGCCGTTGGCAGGTCGAAGGGCGATATCCGCTTTGCAATGCTTGCGCTCGAAGTAATCTGTCCACAGGAACGGTCCGAATGTCCGTTCCGTTTTTCTTAGTGCCGTCGAAAAGTCCCGGCAGGAGAGGAGGACCATAGGATTCGTTTCGAAATTCTATTGAAAACTAACTCACGTATCAAACGCTTATGATATGGGGTTCGTCGTACAGCGTAGCCACTGCTGGACATAGAGCCCGACCGACACCCTAAACTCCCGGCACGCTAGATCTTAGGATAAAGCGAGTTGCACCGGTCGAAATCCTGACCCAGAGACTCCAATATCCCTTAATTAAGGAATATTCCTTAAATCATACCAGGGATCCTACTAGAGCTTCAAGTATATTCCTTAATTCAGGGATATTGAAGTCTTTGGGGAGTGGGGCTGCCGTGGCCTCAACCGAAACTCGACTCCCTCCACCCTAAACCAGACCCCCGGGAGGATCTGGAAAATAGATCCCCTAATTTGGGGCCCTATACTGCTGAGGGTGCTTCATAAATAGGAACCCCCATTAAGGGATCTACTTTTTGGATCCTCCCAGGGGTCTGGGAGACCACCACTCGCGAATTTTCGTGTCGGAATCAATAGGTACTTGCAATATCGCCTTATAATATATACTTACTATGCCATGATAGTGCCTTATTACCGTTCTTATTCTGAAGGCCCTTATACTAAAACCCCTTAAAACGACCGCCCCAAGCACCCGTCGAACCTCGTCGGTTCATATTATTCAGGCCCCTAAAGCCCTGAACCCCAAACCCTTATAGTAGAATCCAGGAAGTTGGAACATCTTTATCCTCATTCCCTCTAGGTAAGGTATAGGACCGGCGATCCTAGCACCAATCCTCCTAAATCCTATTCCAACTTCCTGGGGTTCACTATAACTCCCCTAAACCCTAAAACCCTAAACCCTAAAACCCTACAAACCCTAAACCCTATAAACCCTAAACCCTATAAACCCTAAAACCCTAAAACCGTAAAACCCTAAACCGTAAAACCCTAAACCCTAAAACCCTAAAACCCTATGCACTACAACCCCTGAGCCGGCTTCCTTTCCTCTGTGGGCTCCTAAACAGAGGGAGCAACCGATTCGGAGGTTTGCGGCCGAAGCAGAGAGGAAGTGCCGCCATAGTCCCGGGGTTAAGGTTTGAGAGTAGAACGGTTTAGGGTTTAGGAGTTTAGGGTTCAGGGCTTAGGGTTTAGGGTTTAGGGTTTGAGGGTACTTGGAGGCCCAGGGGACTTAGTAAGTAGGTTTTTAGTAGGGTTATAATTGGGGAAACTCCATTTAAAGTATTTATAACCCTATTTATAACCTACTTACTAAGTCCCCCGGGCCTCTAAGTAGAGATTTAAGGTTTAAGGTGTAGGTTCAGCTTCAAAAGGGGTGTGACGATGCAAGCCAGTTGTCAGAAAGGGTATGGGTCTAGGTTTAGGGTACAGGTTCAGGGTTTAGGGTTCTTGTCTAAGGGTTTAGGGTCCTCTGGATTTCTGTATTAGGGTTCAGATTTTACTTAAGCATCCTGTTTGGCATACCCTAAACCCTGAAGTTGGAAACCCTTGAACTCCCCACAGCCTTGAACCCAAAATCAAAGCCCTGTAAATCCCTGCCCCGGAACCTTAAAAGACTCACCCGCAAAGCCGCAAAGTCCACACACTACACCCCTTCATCCTGACTCAATGAAGCTTCTGGAGAGTTGGAAGAGTTCAGAGGCCGAAATCCACTAGGGAGGGGACACAAGTGAGGGCTTTCGGAGATTAGCAGTTCTAGTGAGCATCCCACACCCTAATCCCTAAACTCCTAAACCCGAAACCCTTAAACCCCAAACCCGAAACTCTGCATGGTCTTGAATTACTGTGAGAGGAGAAAAAATGCTGTGGACCCCTTAGCTCTTAGCTTCGAAGTCAAGTTACCTGGGCAGGCGGCTCTGCTTCCGCTGCATTTTTGCTCGTGTTTTCGGAACCGACCCTGCGTGGCCTGATGAGGAGTTCCTGTTTATCACACTTTTCGTTTTGAAATTGTTCAACAACAGCCCCTTCTTTTATGTGGCGTATGGTCTGTATGGTAGTATCTCTTATGATACCGTGAAGCTCCCCTGAAGCATGAACCTGGTGTATGTCCCGTAATTTCGTAGCAACTCTCTAAGGCTCTAAGGCCCACCCAACATACCATGGGCCAAACCCCTTATAGTAGCCTCTTAGTAGGTAAAAGCACCGACCAGCCCTTCAATGCTATTGCACTACCCGCTACCCCTGATCTTACCACCTGCTACTATACAGCATTCGCCCGGAACCACATTCAAGCATAAACCATGTCCCCTCGCCCCTATACCCTGATAGAAACCCTTCTAGAGCCCTTGGAGGGAACCCGCATAAGAAACGGCAAACTCTTGCGCACGAAACCCAAACTCCTTCCGGAAAATCATAGATTCACACAGCCTGCATACGCACCCCAACCCAAAAAACCCGAAGACCTACCACCTAGAATGCATGGACTTTGGGTTGGAACGCCTTGGGCTGCTACGGGCTGGATTATCTGGATTCTCACGACAGGCAGCCACAAAAAATGTTCTGGGCTTTCGAATTTTGAGTTTGGGACTTTGTTTTCTAGGCATTCAGGTGTTCGGGCAAAGCCTGGAGAGAGACAGCGGGCTTTTTTCCGGGTGTTTCAGCGTTGGACCATGGTTTAGGATCTAGAGTTTTAAGGCTACCCAGGGGCTCCGAAGTAGTTCCTTTTTGGAAGTACCTTATAGGATTCTAGATATGGACCCCCAAAAGGAACTACTATGGAGCCTATGGGTAAGGCCTCAAGATTCTGGGTGTTGATACTTCACGGTTTTGTGTTGCTGTCTCTATCCGTTTGTGCTTTGCATGTGGAGTGCGGTGGCATGTTGAATATCAAAGGTTAGTTTCGGATCAATGCGGAAATGGACATGCCGAGAAAATAAAGTCGAAGATGAAGCCCAAGTACTAGTATCATGGCCTCAAACACTTTTCTAAAACTTCTTCTCGCGTAGCATTGGTTGACAAATCTAAACTACCATGTCTAACCACAGAAGGAGATAATGGTCTCTGTCCTGACACCATTGCTGATGATGACGACGGCAGTCGTTGTGACGGTGATGTCGATGGTGGCAACCAACTTATCGTAGTTGCGAAGCTCGATGTCGAGAGCAAGGAGGGGCCGAATGAAGAGGATGAGGACGAACCTGCCGCTGTTGTTTGTTTCCGCTGTTAGCGCGAAGCGTGATACCGTGGTGCCGAGATGTGCCGAGGCGAGCAGAGCGGCTGCAGAATCAAATCAAGCATTTCGGCAGCAGATTTAGAGCCTTTAGCGGCTTTAACCCTAAACCCTAAACCCTAAACCCTATTTAGGCTTCGTTCCGAGGCGTGTCGTATACGGACGCCTTGAACGTTAGCGCTGCTTGGGAGTCGAGGGGCTAAGTGCGAAGTACTAGGCCATGTGACTTCGGAGTATGTGAAAGAAGCCTAAGTAAGTACAAGTACTACTTTTAGGGTTCCTTAGTATTGGTAAATTTTGCTAAAGAGGAGCCCAGAACCCTATTCCAATTTATTACGGCCCCTCAGCACGGGATCTCCTAGACTCATTGCATGCACAGCTTCCCGATATGATGATTTAGGTAGGAGTTCAAAAACTTCTTGCCGGAGGTGCCTTCCAGCTAAAGCGACTCGAGCTGCTTTATGCCGAAACAGAAGCCAAACAAGTTTGTATAGTTA